CGAGAGAAACGGGAGCACTCGACATAGAAGACCGGACATGGATATTGAGGACAGTGATAGCTACTACACCGATGACAATGAATGCCGCTGCACCAATGGCAATGAGGGAAGAGATGCTTAGCACGATTTTCTTTCGATGGTGATTTGGGAAGGAGCCACCGATGGAATCTGAGGAGTTAGGATTGAGGACAATGGGCTTATTATGGACAGCCGGACAAGAGCGATTTACAACCGAACCACATAACGACGGATTTCCAGAGACGGATGAAGCAGAAATGGTGTTGAAGAACCCCCCAACAGGCAGTTCACCATGAAGGTTGTTGTGAGAGACATTAAAGAACATGAGTAGAGAAAGATTAGCTAGCTCTTTCGGTAAGCTTCCGGTAAGGTCATTCGACGACAAGTCTACATACTCGAGGCTGCTCAAGTTCGAAGTGGCAGGAGGGATCGAGCCGGATAGGTTGTTCCAGGATAGATTTCTGCACCATTACAATTGAAATCAGAGCAAAATCATTAAAAGAATTCGAATGAACATAGCTCTAAACGGACGAATCGAAGAGCGAGGAAGAACTTACAAAACTGTTAGTGATGAACAATTCACTATCTGAATTGGAATTTTCCCAGAAAGAAAGTTCATCTGCAACCTGAGTTCCTTGAGTGACACTGCACCACCAAGTTCAGAAGGAATGCTTCCATTCAACAAATTGTAACTCAAATCAATGACTTGTGTGGTCTTCAATTCACCTATACTGTATGGAATTGAACCAAAAAGATGGTTTCTGGACATATTAAAGAACACCAAGCTGCTAAGAACCCCGATTTTCGATCCAATTTCACCATATAAATCATTTGAAGAAAGATCCAGGACCTGAAGGCTCCCCATAAGTTCATTCCCAGAAATCCATGATGGAAAATAACCAATTAACAGGTTCATTGAAAGATTCAATTCCCTCAGTAACTGCAGATTTCCCAAAGAAGATGGAATTCCACCAGAGAAATTATTTGCAGAAAGATCCAAACTTTCAAGGCTTGTCAATTCTCCAATCCAATCAGAAACTTGTCCACTCAAAGAGTTTCCTTGTAAACTGATCGACCTACAAGAAACAAGCCTCCTCATTGAATCAGGAAGAGTACCATACAAATAATTATCACTAAAATCAACATATTTCAACTGTAAACAGCTTCCAATATCACCAGGAATCTTCCCTGAGAATCTGTTGTTTCCGAAATTTATCAGTCTCAAATCATATAAATTTCCAATACCTTCATGAATCTCTCCTTCCATCAGATTACCAAACACATCAAGCGATTTAAGGCTCCTCAAAAACCAAATCCCAGATGGCAACTGCCCCGAGATTCGATTAAACGAGAAGTTAGCTTCCACAAGCGTCGAACATGAGCTCAAAGAACCAGGAAGATGACCCGTGAGCTTGTTTCCCGCAAAAGAAACCGACTTCAGAGACCCAAATTGTGCAAAAAACTTATCAGGGATCGATCCCGACAAGCTGTTTCCGCTCAAATCAATAACCCGTAAGCTTCCGATATGGGAAAGCTCGGAATTTATGGTGCCCGTAAGGTTGTTTTTTGAAAGTGACAAGGCTTGAAGGAACTGTAACCGCAATAAGCCACGGCCGACGTGGCCGGAAAGAGATAAGTCATCGAGGTGGAGCTCCGTGACCCGGTAAGTTACGGGGTCACATTTTACGCCCGTCCAGTTGCAGGGATCGTTGTCGTCGGAGCTCCAAGATTGAAGCTTTGCGTTTGGGTCCTTGAGACCTGCTTTGAAGAAGATTAACCCCAGAACGTCGTCGTTGAAAGCTGGCTGCTGAGAGTTCACCATAACTGAAACCAACGCAAGAAAAGCTAAAACCTTTAAAACCATTTTCCTCCTCCCTCCAACTATATTAGAGAAACAAATACTAAGCGTCCATGCCCGGGTGGTTTTTCTGTTTTAGCTTGAGTTTGGGGTGAGAGAAAGAAGATTTAGAAACCCCAAAGCGAAAACTGGAGGGTAGAAATATAAAATAATTCAAGGTGAGGTGAAAAGGTGGCGGAGGAGAAGAAATAGAGAACCTGGTAGTTGGGGAAGGAAGTAATTAATGACGGAAATAAAGTGTTGTTTGTGGTTGGTGTCTGTACTGTAACTGTCGTGGATATACTTGCACACAACATCATATGTTGGATTTTGCTCATAATTTTACTCGAATTTGTACCCTAACCTCAATGGTTCAATCTCTTGTCGCACTCCTGTTGTTTAATTTCATTTTATATAGTATAATTTACATATTTAACCATTTAAGTTTCACTTTGGTTCTCTTTCGGTCATTTAATGATTTTTTTAAAAATTCATTAACGTTAGGTTTTGATTTCATTTTGATCATTTATTTTTAAAAAATTAATAGTGATATTGATGTGTGAAACTAAAATACTCACTTCTTTATAAAAAAATAAATGTTATGTTTATAATTTTGTTATCTTTTAAACGAAGAATGACCAGAATAAAATTAAAATTTAATGTTAATAATGATTTAAAAAATAATTAAAAATTATAATTTGGTGATTAAATATGTAGTTTAACCCTGATTTTATATTCGGTCAAACAATGATCCTGAAACACTGTAATGGTATGGCAATTTTTTTTGCTTTACCAGTTGAGATGGGGTTATATTTCTGCTTTCTCACTTCTTCTATTGAGAAATGCTAAGGCATGATTGAAAAAGCAAAAGGGATTGCTATAATATATTCTTTCTTTGTAGTTGCACACCGATTCAACTGTGACGTCGTTTTCAAGTCTTCTCTCTCTTTTAAATCTAGAAAAAAAAAAACTGAAATTTAATTAATTTTGATTTTAAGTAATTTGAGATCACTTTACTTTAGCGAAACTCAAGAAAAGGGATAAAAGTGTTGGTGAGCATGCAGACAGCAAAAAGACAACACATGCCTTCCCCAACAAATCGGCTCACCTTTTTCACTTTCACCGGAATTTCTCGGCCGGATCATCACATTTATTCTCTTTCCGTTTCAAGAAAGAAAAACCTAGTACTCGTGTCTTCGGTTTCTGCATCGTAATCTATAAGCTGAAGGATTCTAATTAAGCTTAGTTTCTTAATTAGTGTTGTGCTGTGTTTCTTAATTTGGAGGATAGATTTAGTGGCGTAAATGGCGCTCAATCTCCATCTTTTTGCTTAACGTAGTCAAAGATGTTTGACAATGGCTTCTGGTGGTGGACAATAAGTTATTCAACCGCGTCATACATGCATTAATTTCATACGCTGTGAGGCATTTTCAGCTGTTTTCCATGTCTTTGTTGTTGATTAGTCTGCTCTTTATCGGATTATAGTGAATACAGTGACAAAGGTTGATTTTTTTTATTGTTCAGCCCTATAATAGTCAACTGCAGACAAGAACAACAATGTGTTTCAGTGGTATAATTTTTTTTAGAATTATTTGAGTTCAATGAGTTGGTTGTTTAGAGGGATCGATTAACTGTCTGATATTTATAGTTAATTATTTCCAGGTATTAATACGGTCTCATTTTTTTCCTATGAATGTAATTGTGAAAGCACTATAACTGATTTTAAATATTGGGTATCTATGGTGTAGACAATCAAGATGATAAAAGTATGATTTTATATTAAAATAAATTTATAAAATTTTAAGTAAAAAACAGATAACTAATAAAAATATATATATATATATAATAAATTTAAAATTTTAACTACACCCACATGTTCATCTCCTTTGCATGGCCATAATCAATGTTAATTGCTCTCAAAGCCTCAACTGTGTGTGAAGTGAGAATCACTTGTCCTTGTAGGAGCGATGCAAAATTATTTTTGACTACGTAATCTGTCAGCCTCATAAATTGGCTTCTTCAAGCGTGAATTCTTAAATCAGAATGCCTTCTCTCTCTCTCCGTATATTACTTGTATCGTATGGCCTTCTTTTTTATCATTAAACATCATGCCATGTCTCCGCACATGTTGTGCAGTAAGATCAGCAGAAACAGATACAATACTCGGTACATATTCCACACGTGCTTCTAGTAGTCCAAAACACTGACCTGGTCCAGTTGGCCGAGACCGACCACCATGTTGCTTAGCCGAAGCTTTAGAGATAAGAGTTACCTGCAACGACTCCATCCCAGTCCTCGGACTACAAGATTTCATCATGCAGAAACCTGGATCGGTCACATAATTAATGCCGTCAATGATTAATGATGCTTCTGCAATATTTGTTGCTTGGACTATCTTGCGTGCACCAACAAGGGTGGGCTTGAACTTTGAATATTTTGGGCTTGGAGCTCAGTAGGAAGATTTGCAAATATAGGGCAGATAATGTCTCTGCAACGTTGAAAATTAAGCCACAGAAAATCTCTTGTCCTGCCCAATAACCGTATCTTCATCGTAAGCTTGTACTCACCAAAAGGGCTCAGAAAATTTATAATCAGAATATTTTAGATATTTTTTTATATTTTTTATTAATAATTTATTTTACTCTTAAAATTTTATAAATTCACTTTACTAAAAATTTAAAAATTCGTCGTCTTAAAATAAAATTCTGCATATGACCATCAATCCGCTTCTTCTCACAAGCTCGTATGTTTCCTTCATGTACCTTAACTCACAGTATTCTGCTTTGGTGAGATTTACACCATCAAAAAGGTGTTGCTCAGCTTCTATGCAGTTCCCGAGCTCCTGAAATGCCTTTTGCTCCCTCGGATCTAAATTTATATAATTGGAAGGAGAGGATAACGAGGTAGCTTTTGTGTGCCATATTGGAGCCTCCACTGTGATTTTGTGGGGTCCGCTCGTAATTACGTGTCACCGAAGCATTGCATTGCATGGAAACGTTTCCCTGGGTCCTACTTCCTTCCTATTTCCAAATTCGCGGGCAAACAACAAAAACGATAACGAAACGGTTTGCTAGCCGACGTCGTTTCGAGCATCCATTTACCCGATGCAAAAGCAACGAATAAAATCCCCGTTTTCTTTAAAAATGTATTTCGCCCTTCTTTTCTCTCCGCTTCGCTTATAGTTATAGCTCACTGCTCAAGTAATTGGTAATGGCGAAAATGCTTTCCATCAAAAATCTTAACCCTAGCTGCACCTTGGAGCCTTTGAACAAACTCTGCCGTGCTTCTGCTTCTCCATTTCCCCCTTGTTTTCCGACGTCTCTCTGGCTGAAGCCATCTCATGGCAGAGTCTCTGTGGCCGCTCCCAAAGGTTTAGTCCTAGGTTTTTGCTCACTCGATAGGCGCATTTCCTTCAGCCAATCCGTCGTGGCTTTCGCTGCTTCCCACGATGAATCGGTGAGTTGGATTTCAAATGATATTTTATGACTTACAATTTTCCTTTTTAATTCAAATATGTGTTTTCCTTTTTTTCTAAATGTTCTAATAATTGGGATTCTGAATTTGATTTTTTCCAGAAACATTCAGAAATAGATGTGGAGAGGGAAAATGATGAAGTATCTTCAAATGAAGCATGGAAACAAGCTTTAGAAGCTTTCAGAGAAGAAGCCTTGAAGATGCAAAACGTGTCCCGAGAAGCTTATGAGATTTACTCCAACAAAGCTTTGGTTACTCTGAAAGAAACCTCGGAGCAGCTTAAGATTCAAGCAGAGAAGGCCAAAAATGATTTGATTGAAATAGTGAAAGAAATCGGTGAAGAAGGCAAAGTTTACCTCTCGACCGCAGCCGAAAATTCCCCTCCAGAAATCAAAGAAATTGTCGAAACATTCTCTTCCTGCTCAGCTGACGATTTCAATGACGTTTCCAAAATTCTCGACTTTCACGTTGGCATACCTTACGGTATCGGAATGTTTCATATTCATCTTTTATGATTAAATCTGGTTATTTCTATTAATTTTATCCTATCATGCATGTCAATTTGAATGTTAATTAAAATGTCTAATTATAATAATTCAACCTTTAACATGTATGGAAAAGATACTATTCTCAATGGAGTGGATAGTGTATTGGATCGACTTGAAACTTCATATGTATTGTTGTTAAATCTTAACCTGTTTACCGGTTTACGAAAATGTTAATTGAAAGAGTTTAATTCCATGAAGAAAAACTTTGAATTTCTTTCTTGTATATTTGGGTCCGGCAGGTATAATTCTTTCGGTTGGGGGATTTCTTTCTTTCATGTTGACGGGCAGCATTTCTGCAATCAGGTTCGGTGTTATTCTAGGTGGAACGCTTTTAGCATTAAGCGTATCAAGTTTAAGATCATATAAAAGAGGGATTTGTCCTCCTCTTGCCTCCGAAGGACAAGCAGGTTGTTACTTCTTAATTTGCAAGTATTTTACATCCTTAATAGGATCAAATTATATGTTTCATTAACTGGATTACTTTTCCGGCAGTCATCTCATCTGTCATGTTTCTGAGGGCGTTTAGCTCTCTGGTTCAGGTCGGGTTCCTATTACAACCTTTATTTTCCGTATTGTTTTTAGATTCCTGCTAATTTTGGTCTCAGCTTCTGATTTTTCTTTAAATTATTATTTTCCTTGTTATTTTTGCAGAGAACAACTCCGGGCACCTTTATCGCTACCTTAGTCAGGTTCATAAATCCTTTTGTGACATTTTAATTATTTATTATCTATAAATGGAAATTACTGTGCGGGGTGTGACATTGATGACCATAAATTTACAAACCTTGGTTCTCTAAAACATGATTATACGATTATAATAATCAACTTACTGTTGTCAACTAAGCTTGTGGTCAGTGGGAATTCAAAATTAATTTTAGGGGTGGATATATATATGTGTGTGTTTGTATGTATGTATTAACAACCCGTAGGTGGGTAGATATAAATAAAATCTAATGTGCGTATAATTTTTAAAATAGATAATTAATAGAAAAGAATTTGAATTTTAGTTAGGTGTAGATCCATCACTGCCTGTGATGTGATATTTGTTTAAATCTTGATTGACATTAAATCCCTGTTCAATCCTAGGAAACTACTCCCCTCTCCTTTTATAACTAAAATCAAAGAAAAATTTTCAAAAAAATAAAAATAAAATAAAATCAAAGAAAAATGTCAACCTACTGCTGGCATAAATGAAGGAATGAATACTATACAACCTTTTTGAATTTTGCCTGCTTTTGGTTGTCAAGTACACCATATTAGTTTAATACTGCAATAAAATTTTTGTTTTACCTGTTGCACGTGTTTTAATGTTCTTAGCATGAACTCCTTTGTGATACGTACTGCGATTTCATTATTTTGTTTTATTTGGATTCATAGCTAAACTTTAGTTTGCAAGGATTTTTTTTCTTTTATTGCAGTATCAGAACTCCATCTTTTTCTTTTTTTTATCCTGAAAACTTGCTTTCATGTGCAGTGGTGCGGTGGTGGCATTCTATATATACAAGCTTCTACCAAATGACAAGCCCGGCTTGAAACCTGGTAAAGAAAATTGATGTGTTTGATCTGTTGTTTCAGCCATTACATAAATAATGTTTTAAATCAACTTAGAAACCTGATATGGAAGATGCAGAGTGATAAAATCATCATCGAACAAATCATAAATGTAAAAGCAAAAACATATGATATATTGCCCTTCAAAATTAGAAAAAAATTCATGTGAACCTGGATTTATGTGTATTATTACCTTAATTATTTAGAGTTACCATGTCAAAAGCTGAAAGAGTTGGAGTAACTGACTGATAAATATTAAACCTAGTAATGTAAAACCCAACAAGAGGGAAGATAGGCAGCCTACTTACCCTAAGGCTTTTGGAAGCATGTTTCTTGTGTTAGTTTTAGATGTCTGGATGATGAACGTTATCAGGTTGATTGTCCAATGGCATGTATTGCGCCATTATAGCCCGAAACTCCGAATCCATGTATCTCTGCATCAAGTTGACAGCAAATGAAAGTCAGTTCCACCATTATTCCTCGAAAAATACACTTAGAGATATACGTTTTCATCAAACGATAGGAGAATGTAACCCTCCAAATATATGAAAAATATAAACTGTGGTCCGTGTCAGGCATGCTTGTATCCGACACAACCGAGTCCAAGCAATGTAGTTAATAACAATGTTAGAAGTGCTATTTTCCAACTATTATTTCAGTTCAAAAATGGGTTCTAATTATCCTTTCTTGTGTACCCTTTACGTAATGAAGTTCTGCTCATATATAATCAATCAAGTGATGCCTCTCCTCATTAATACATCAATGGTTCTAAAAATGTGATCATGTGATATATAGGAAGGATCAGATATTAATATTAGTGCAACAACAATCTTACCCGGATTCGATATTTGTAAATGGCATATCCTGCACCTCCAGCAGCAATTAATCCAAGAATTATTACCCAAACAGAGCCCCAGCTTAACTCTGTCCTAACATTCTTACCTGAAAGTGAATATCAGCATTAGAGGGGTGTTACGATCCAAAGAAAATTGAAATCATGTTGATATGTCGCCTATCTCCAAATCAAGCAATTCAATGGACCAGCTTAATCTTATACTCGCTACCAGCATGTCCTACCACATTATATGAAAATATTTGCATCTAATACGAACTATTCTACGAAGCGTATAATGGCAAAAAAAAAAAGGTGTCTATCAAAGCTAGCCTCAAAGAGACTCACCGATACACATGTCATGCTCTCGCATGTACAACGAACCGCCGCTACAGCTGCACTCATAGCTGCCCCAGATTTTTTGCATTTGCACTCAGGACATTGGCAGGCCAGCTTCTCCTTGCACTCATCAACATCTGGGCAAAAGCCCGAAGTAAGAAATGGTTCACCAACAGAGGTAAAAATGATATAAACCTTAAACACTCGTTCAATGCAGCTGTAACATGGAGCACTTCTTAGTTAAAACTTTTGTCCCAAGAAGCATATAAGATGGCTAAAAGTATCCGTATTTTACACACCTACCGAAACGTCCACTCATCCCTTTCCTATAAAAGGCACCAAAACTAGAATATGACATTTTAATGTTTATTAATGAACATTAAAGAAACGAATCTAACTGAACACAACTCATTCTTAAAATCAAATACAATTGTATTTTTTTATTAATGAAAAGAAAAGAATGGTTTCTGACATTTTAATGTGTACATATGATAATGTTTATTCTATTTCTAATTCAGATAAAATTCAAATATATTCTATCAATTATATTATTTAAATCTGAATCATCTTAAAAGAATATATAAATTTTCATCAATAAAGTCAAATTTATGAAAAGAAAATTAAAATTAAAATTAATTAATTAATCAACTTATATATATATATATAATAATTAAAAAAACATTATATGCATTAAGTTTGTAAAATCAAATGAATATTAAAATCCCGTAATGTAGGTCCAAAAAGGCACTGAAATAACTTTAAGTTAAATAAATTAATAAAATGATTTTAATTAAGTTGGATGGATAACCGTTGTGAATTTATCTACTGTTGGATCTCTCTTATTAAATTTATCTCTTTTGCATCTCTTATTAAATTAATAATAAACGATATAAATAGGACGGAGAAATATAATAATCATTTTTAAAGCTAGAAAAAAATAATAAAAGAATGGATTGCCACGTGTACTGATTCGCTTTGACCGCCCCATCCCACTCGCCGCTTCACGGTCAGTTTTTTCTTTAAGCATTGTTTTATAATAAAGGCTGAAAGTTATAAAAAAATCCTAAACTATGCTGCTTCATACTTTAAATTTATTATTTTTTAAATCCTTAGATTATTATTTATAGTCATTATAAATTTTATTTTTGAAAAATAATCTTTTGTTAATGAAATATTGACATGTCATATAAAATTAAATATCTATTTTATTAAAATTAATTTAAGAATTTAAAATAAAAAAAATAAATTTAAAGGTTGATTTTGAACGAAAAAATAATTTAGGTATTATATATAACCGTTTAAAATTTTAATTTAACTAGAAAATAATTGAATGACATAAAAAAAGTGGCATGATTTAAAGTTTTATTCGTCCCTGGGTTTTCTTTTAAATTAGGGCGAATAAAATTTAATTAGGTTTAAAAAATTAATTTTTAAATTTTAAATTATTCAAGTCAACTCAAATTATCAATTTATTTTCAAATTTAAGTTGAGTACAATTTTGAAATACTTGACATTTTTGCGATATGACTCATGATTTCCTTCTTCATTTTAATTTTATTTTTTACCAAATTTAAATCGTGTCCTCCTAAACTATTGTAGAATACATATGTTTCTTCAATTTCTTTGTTAATAATTATTTTATTATTTTTTAATTTAGCCCCTCAACTTCACATTATTTCCTCATTCATTCAATTCTTCCTTCATTTTAAGTTCAATTTTTATCAAATTTGAACCAAATACTTTTAAACTATTGTAGAAAACTATGCATTTTTAATTATTTTTTATAATAAGTTTTTTGTTTTTTATTTAATCCCTCCTTGATTCAATCATTCATTTTAAGTCCATTTTTACTAAAATTGAATCACATCTTCTTCTACCACTATAGACTGCATATGTAACTTTAATTACTATTTTTAACAATAAATTTAATCTTTTTTAATTTAATCTCTTAATTTTTAATTTTATCTAATTTGGTCTTTTAACTGCAAGTTTTAATTTTAGTGGTGAAAAACGTTTTCTAGCCTTAATATTTTTTTTCAGTTATTCAAAATGTAAGTCCCTTTCTATCATACTTTCTAAATCCAAGGAAATCTAGAATAATTTATTAGGTGATCTATGGTTGAGTGGGAAAAGAATCTTGTATGGACAATAAATAATCCATTTATGAGATCATTAAAGAAGACGTGATATAAACTAGTGTGTTTCACATTTATATATAATAAGACAAACCTCCATGAGATCAGCTTGTGGCCACCAAGAATTGACATAGAACATAATTGGAATGGCAAAATTTGCAGATAATCTTATTTATCGACAAACACCAAAATGACTGCTACTCATTTTATGATCATTCAAAAACTTTTTATTTTCTTTGGATTTAAATAATTACGTCTGTAAAATGCATACGAATTATCAATAGACTAAATTCTTTTGAACAAATACTGCCTTTAATCATCCGAGATTATTAGAAAAAATAATGTTCAAAGCAGTGGAAGATTAGTAGGCTGGACGGATTTGCTCATTGCTTAAATTAGCTCTGGTCAGACTAATACAGTTCAGCTAAAATATTTCAGCAAAATACTGAAACACACTCTCTATTCATGTTTTCTCAAAGTATTTCAGGCACAAGTTCTTTATACATACGACACAGACCGTATATCATGGTATGCTGATATTTCCAAGATATGCAGCTTGAGCTTCAATTGGAGTTTTAGTATTCATACTTGGAGATTGTCATCTACTCGCGCTTATCCTCCTCAAGATCATCTCCGATAGCCTGCCTTTCCAGCTTCATTGTCATGTCTCCACCGTTGCCAGTCAATGTTGTACCCTCCTCATCAGAGTCCTCACCCATCCCCTCCATGTATGCATATCTGCAAGTCCATTAGTGGCCAAAACTCATTATTAGTTTTTTCTTCTACTTAAAAAGTACAAAACAAACATTTCACCGCACGTTGGCCAGCCAGCAAAATATACTTAATACACGGTCAAATCACGTACCATGCTACTAGCTCAAAGCCATGACATCAAGGGGTGTTAAATCATAATTTATGCTGCAGCTAGCTATTTAAAGATAATCAGGTTGTTTACTGGCGTCTGAGGGAATGCAAAATGAAACTACATATCGGGAATATTTCTCGAGGATGTATGATACCTACTGATCTGTTTTTGGAACAGGACCCTAAGAGAGAAAGACGAGTACCAACATTAATTAATCATAATTAAGTAGTATAACCATGTGTTGTTCAAATACAATTTACACAAAAAGGAAATTACCATCACAGACCTGCTTGTATAAGCAAGATATTTTTCAGGTAAATATAAGTGTCAACTATCAATTACTGAAATGCACGAACTGCAAATAGCAAATATCAATGTGTACCTTGTTGGGTTACGAGAAGGAGCCCAGAGAACACATATGACCACCAAGAGAGCGTAAGCAAGCATGTTCCAGAAAGCCGGGATGATCCATGCAATTTGCCAAAACTCACTAAGTGGATTGTTCGCATTGAAGTATAGCTGAGCCAAGAGAATTCAGAGGAGTTTCAATAATTCTTGTCTATTTTTTTATTTCGCTTTTTTCTTCTCAGCTCTTTTGGATGTTCACACATGAGCCGAGAAAAGGAAAAGGAAAAGGAGGGGGGTGATAAAAGTATGCACAGATATGATGGAAAGAGAAAATTACATAATATCAAACTTCACTAAGCTGCTGTTTGACACAAAGATTCATGAATCCATTGGCATGCCTCGGAACTCTGAAGAAGAAATCTCTAGTACCACAATTAGCACACAAGAAACCTCTCTGCACTCCCATGCCTCTAGACCATTATTTTTTGTTTTATTTGGCACACATCTTGCAGGAACGTCATTCCCGCAAGAAGAAATTGCCATCTTACCTTCGCATGGGATGCATAGTGTGTGACAGATGAGCAAAGAGTTGATGTAGATATTACAACTAGTTGTATCAATAATAGTAAACGCTCAATTATAACCAAGTGCCTATTATTTCCATTTGCAGATGTATTAGCAGATGTAACTAAGGCCCGTTTGTTTTGGAAAATTTAGATTAAGTAATATCAAAATGGAGATCATATTTCAATATAGGTAAGAATGAGAGTAATGGTAGAGTACTGGAGTTAGTAGAAAATCACGAAATTCCTTAAACCGATCGTTTTTAGTAACTTGCTTGATGGGCAAATAACAAAATATACAATTTTAAGATGGTAGGTGGCAATGATTGAAAATAATTTGAGCAAAAGGTGCTTAGAAGTTTCAATCTGTACAGTGTATAGAGATATGGATGATTTGGCACATAAAAGTTATTTGATTCAACTAGGTAGAATGAGAAGAGATAGAGTAGAGGCAGAATGACGATTATATTGATTGAACCACAAAGAAGGATTTGAATTGTTTATGTCATTAAAAAATTTAGCCCTTAAAAGTGCAATGATGGATTTATTGAATAATATATCCTATGCCGACTAGGAAGTAGTATTACCTCAAAGCCTATCCAAGCAATAGAAAGCAACACAGACATGGCAAGTGCATTAGTAAACTTTCGGTATAACTCCAATTTTGCCAAGTTTCTCCGCATCTACACCCAAGAAACAGTAGAACAAATGGAAATAAATAGATGTTTTAAAAGTTGTTGCAGTTTAGATAAATAATATAGCTGGTATGAATAACTTGAAATTTCAAAAGAAAATCAACTCATTTATACAGAGCCTATTACAGCCAGGAAATTTCTTGTAACTGAACACCCTACAAATACAGCAGTAAGGCACAGTGAATTTGATTTCCAATAGAGCTTCACGCCATGTTGGCAGATACATAGATTTCGTATTAATGTCTATCTGTTTATCCATCTATCATTGTGCATCTATATAATAAGTAATAATAGTTGCAAGTAAAAAGAATCATACCTGAAGTTTCTCCAAAGTTTTTGACAGTGATGAGAAAATCCATAGAATAAAACAAGCATCCAAAAAGGCAACAGGAAGCACCAAAAATAACTTTGCTTTTCCAGAAAAATCATTAATGTTCCCCAAATGTTCTACTAGCTCAAGTGCCTCCGTCGCAATGAAGTATATCAGACCAAGCAGAACTACTTTGGATGTTAAGCCACCAAGCGTTGGCCT